TCCGGGTGGCCCAACTTCTGGGAGATCTCCTCCAGGATCTCAGCGAACTGCCTGCGAACCGCTTTGGATCATCCAACGATGGAACATCTCCCGGAAATGCAAATGTGTCCAAACCACGGAAAGATGTGGCTTTCCTGGAGACGTTCTTGGAGTTTGCTTTTTAGAGATGAGCTGGTATTCAATGAGTTTGTATGAGTGTTTCCAAAAATCGTGGACCCATCAAACAATCGAGAGAGAGAGAGAGAGCTCCCTTTTTCAGCTGGTGGTGGGATTGGTTTGGCGGTGAGGGTGGTTTCCGAACCACCAATCCCCAATTCACTCTTTCGTATGGGTGCGTCTTCAAAATGGGAAATGCGTGTTCCCTTGAAACAGCCAAAAAAGGCGCCCTTAAAAAGACAAGCCAGGATGAGTTTTACAATAAATCAGTATAGTGTGTCACACTGGTGACACCGCACATGAGCAAATATCAACAAATTATGCGAGATAGAATGATTCTGCATCATAGACTTGTTACTACAACACATAAAACAATTTGTGGGGATACGGGTGAGCTTTTCGCGTGGGTTAGGGATCCCTAAGCTGTCACTATGCTTTTATTCTGTTCTTGATGTAGGGCTCTGCTTGCCGATGCACCTGAAGGGAAACAAGCGCCTTTGAGACCAGCGACAGCCATCCTTGCAACGTTTGGATGATGGTACAGGATGAAGCTCGCTTAGTCCAGCTGTGGGAGGTTGCTAGACATATATTATGTACATATAGATCATATATGTGTATACAAATGTATATATATATATATATGTATATGTATACATATATATATATATATGTACATATGTATATACAAAAATATATGCTGAAACCAGCATGCAGTCCACCCCTTGTACATTCCGTGCAGTTTAGAAGAAAAACTAGCAATTCTTCCATCGTCCGTGTTGGTCCCCTGCTCTGACTGTACAGTGAGCTAACTTGGGCTGTCGATGAGCTTTTGAGTTGGGGACAAAACCATCCAAAAAGCCGGAGTGGTCGAACCGGAGACATGACTAGGAAACCAAACAATGCGAGTCAGAGACCAAAAAGCCGAATCGGAAAAGCCGTCGAACCGGACATCGGGACACACGAGGCCAGCGCTAAAAGGTTCAGAGCCCGCGATCCCAACAGTTTGCATTCCCGATCCTGCGAGTCATGCACAATCTTGCAATTTCTCCAGCGCACTTCAAAATTATTGAATCTAGGAAGCCTGCGGTTTCACAGAAAACGTGATCATGCTGTCTGGCTATCTGGCATATCTTTCATTTTGTCCATCCCGCCTGCGAAGATCCTCCTTGCCATCCATCTCCTACGCACCGAACTCAACGCATTGTGCTCCGGAAGTCCAAGGCACCGGCAAACCGATCAACTGCTCTCGCTGGCTCCCAGGCTCTCCATTGCCACAAGTCTCGCCTGCAGAGCCGTGAGAACTGGCGAAAGGTCCACCTCCACCTTATTCTCCGTGATGCACTGGAAGACTGGCGAGAAATCCACCGAGGGCTGCCTTGGAAAGCCGAACGCCTGGAACGCCCGCAATGACTGGCGTTCCACAAAGTTTGCCGGTTCCATTGTTGGCTGCTTTTGCTTGAGGCTAGGAAGAGCCGCAGAAGGGGTTACAACTTCGTTCTCATGCTGATCTTCTTTTCTGCCAGCTTCGTGTCATGATGTCAGAGCTGAACAGGTTCCTGAGACACATTGACTTCAAGCGGAAGTTTTCCGCTAATGGTCGCAGCGAAATAGGTACTCAGGTACTCCCGCCCTGGTTTGAGGGATCCTAAACCCGCAGCAATGCGTTTGATACTTTGGGCCGTAGCCGCAGCCATCTCTCTTCTCAATTTGCATCGCGGAAGTTCAGCCGAAACGCTGAGCCCACATCGCCGAAGGCAAGTCTTCCCTATGTCTGGCCACATCCTCCTGCATGGGCAAGGAAACTAGAGTTTGCACAAACTTTCTCCAAAGCCAGCCCCTTGTAGGCCTAGTTATCAATTTCATCGCAGGCCAAGGTCGTGCACGAGGCATTGGGACCGCTGACAAGACTGTAAAGGCTTACATGGTGTCAAAATAGGGGGACCAGACAAATAGCGGTTGCCCCCTCGCTTTCCCTTTAAGGCAACCTGAAAAGGGTGGCTTCAAAGCAGCACTAAACAGAAATCAAATGCATTGACTGCCCAGTCCTTCAGGGTGTCAACAGAAGTCCAGATTCCTTCCAGCGACGAGGTGATCTTCGATGCGCTCTGCCCGCTTTCCTCAACGTGGGAACTTGCCACAGGGATGAGGGTGCCACAAAGTACCGCAGCCCAGAAAATGAGAAGATGGCGAAACCACCTGATAAGGGTACCCTCAAGAAACACACACACACACACACACACCAAGTGTCGCGTGCCAATGGCAGCAAGTTCTGGCCGCACACGGAAGGCGTGAAAACCCCGGCAAGCTTTGCGGAAGCGCTGACAGCGGCGGGCACGGACGCCGCACCCCAAACAAGATCTATCTAGAATCCACATAGCGCAAACTTCACACATTGAAAACACGTGGGTTTTCAGAAGAGCAGCGATCGCCTCAATGACGGGAGTGAAGTCCACCTCGGCGTGTTTGTCCTGCACTTCCTGGTGGACACTGCCTGAGTTTCGCGAAACGCATCAACAACTTCCAACTTCCAGTTGGGCAAGGATGAGGAAGGGCGCTTACTTTCAACTAGATCTGGTCCTTGGATTTCCCCTTGAGGTGGAGTCCAAAAAACTGCCACTCGTGCCACTTGAGGTCCAGAAAACCCAAATTGCCCAGCACATCGGCCGGGCCACGGAGCTGCCCCCTGAGCTCCTGCAGCTGCTCCTGGCGGAAACAAGGAACGCCTCTGGGGCAACCCGCGCAGAGGCCGTTGGAGAGACACGACGAGCGAAAGCTCGGCTCCTCCATGAGATGGAAGGATTCCCTGAAGGCAGCCACCGGGATGAGGTCCCGGATGCCATCCAGCAGCCAAGAGAAATCCATGTCCTGGAAGATCTCTCGCATCTCATCCAAGACCCCATCCATGGCTGCTGGGGTAAGCTTGTCCTGAGCAACGCATCGAGCGACGGTCAGCTGCAAATGACACATGGCGCAGAATCAAAGCGCGGTGCCAAGCCCAGCCAGTCCAAAGACCTCCCTGACCGGTTTGATCCAGACTCCCAGTCTCCTTCCAAGCTTCTGAGTTCATGGTCTGCATCCTCCGAATGCTGGGAGCTCGGCTCGGCGTCCCCACATCACTAGTCTCGCAGGGGCACGCGGGCGAAGGGCTGGTTGTTTGGAAGCTTCGCTTGGCAGACTTCCAGCTTTCACAACCACAAGCACCGGTGCAAAAGCAAGGTCCCCAAAGTGGCGCCTTGCCCCAAAAAAAGAGATTTCAAGGGTGTGCTCATGGTCGCGTAGAAAACATGATCCTCTCTTGACCGTGTCTGCATCAAGCTACCCAAGAGCAGGGCACCAAAACGTCAAAAAGGTGCGCCTTGAGGGCGGAGATCTCGTCTCTGATCGTGGACATGCTACCTGATAGTTCCTTAGATTAAGTTACACTTGCAAAGCGAACTGAAGTCTCAATTGCGTGCTGCTCACGATGTGCGACAGGCAATGGGTTGGACGTTTGCTTTCGCTTCGCAAGCAAGCAATGGAAAAATACAGTTTCAGAGGCAAGCAGGGCCAGCACGTGCGTGATTGTTGCGGCCTTGCGCGGCCCAGGAAAAACACATCACAACTACTTTCAATCGCAGGGTTAAAAATGCCGCTCACATGGCTTCCTTGTCCCTCCCAATGCCCATTTCCATGTGCAGCTCGGTGTCCTGAATTGCGTCGTGGGTGCGCTTGAACTCCTTGGCCGGGCTTGGAGTCTCTCTTTTTCCACCAAAGCGCCCCATCAAAACCAAGGGCCTCTGTCCAAAACTGTGAACCCACCAAGGTTCAGCGCGGTGTTTCTCGCGCATCACCCTGCTTGGTCCTAGATGGCCACGCATGTAACTGCAAGAATCACGAGTAATTGTCACTCCAAATGAAAATGCAGGGATTGGCCACGCATGTAACTGCAAGAATGACGAGTAATTGTCACTCCAAATGAAAATGCAGGATGACCTCACGCTTCACCTGCTGCGCTGAAGTCAGTGGGCCCTTGGCCTGAATGTTTCATTTCACAACACCAGTACAATCTTCTTTGGCTTCAGCCTCGCTCCATTGCCCGCTGGAAGTCTTGCGACCTGCCGCCCTTGACGTTAGGTCCAGGATACCCTCAACCTAGTCCACGGGGCTTGCAACCGTGGGTCTGCCCTCTTCGCCCCAGAAACGCCGCCGCTCTGCACCGTATCCTCGCTTTCCTGAGTCGTTCGGCTTCTCTGAAGCTCACCAGAGGAAGGAAGCGCAACTCATCGAGAAAGACACACTTTCCGAAGGGAAAGCGCTCCTCGACCTTGAAGAGCTCGGGGGCCACGCGTGACGTAGCGCGTAGATCTTGAAGCTGGAACTGGACAAAGTTGGGCCACTTCAGAGCAAATCGTCTAGCCTCTGCTTGCTTCAGCCGATCTGACTGCGTAAGCGCGTTCGTGCCTCTCACACACACACAGCCGCATTGCTGGTTGTGACCGCGGGCGCGTGACGGTCTAGCAGCAACACATCAGGATCTCGATCCTCCACGTACGCATCACCTTACTCCTCTCAGAACCTGATCACAAAGTCTTCTTTTGCCTTCCCTGCTCCACAGATCACCTTAGAGTGCTCCTTGAAGGTCTTGGCGACGTGCCCAACTCCGCCATTCATGCGAGGGTCTTGACTGGAATGTCATCCACCCATGCACCGGTCCTGGCCACACCTGTCAAGTATCTTGACGTCTGCTGGCCTCCGGGAATGTCCGTGTTGCGCTCAAAACGAGCAGGTGGGCCCCGGCGATCACGACGTGCGCCGTTGGTGCACCATCGCCACTCACTCCGCTACCACGCGTGAACCCACCAAGGTCACTTTGTTTGCGCGCATCACGCCCCCTAGTCCTAGATGGCCACGTACATGTAACTGCACAAATGACGAACAACTGTCACTCCAATGACAATGCAGGATGACCTCAGACTCCAACTGCTACACTGAAGTCAGTGGGCCCTTGGCCTGAATGTTTAACTCCACAGAAACAAAAACAAGTAGATCTGTTCTGTGGAGTTCTGCCGAGGCTCTGCCTCAAAGATCTCCTTCTCCACTGGGGCAGGGTAAGCCTGCAGCATCTGCTTGTGCTGCTCCAGCGATCTGAGCCGCCTGCGAAGCCCATGGTTGAGTCTGAAGCTGAGACCCCCAGCCCAAAGAACTTGGTTTTGTTTTTGCCGGCTTGGCGGCCAAATAGTTGCGCCCTGCTTTTGCAAGAGAGCGCACACATGCGAATCCTTACTTGCTGCAAAAAGGGCACACGCTAGGTGTAGATAACGCTGTGAATCTTTGCGCGCGCAAGCCTATGAAGTGCGCTGCCATCCTTCGTGCGTGTGCGCACGTGTATGTTCATGTGTGGCTGGCAATTTGAAAGTCCCCATTCAGGGAATGAATGCAATTGTATGATCTCCTGTCTGCGGAACCTAAACCCACACGCCTACACCGCCTACAGGAACCTTGACAGCAATCCATCACCGCCTGATGGCTGGAAGCTAGCGATGGACTGCCACAAAGCTAAAACCCTTGGCCGTTCTGACCATCCTCAGAAGAAGGCGCCAGCAGGGTTGAACGCCAGCCATTGTAAACTCTTTGACACTTTTTGCACTTTTGAGCTTTTTGGGGCTTTTGCACGTTTGCGCTTTTCACTTTGGCACTTTTAAGTGTTGGGGCGGTGAAGCCAAGCCCCACCAGCACACATCTTGACCCGGTAGCACCTGCCACGCATCCCCTACAGCTCCCAAAGGTGCAAGAGCCCCAAAAGTAAAAGACAAAATGCAAAAAGAGGCCCGAAGTGCGAAAGCGCAAAAGTCCAAAAGTGCAAAAGCGCAAAGGTTCAACGTAGCCCTAGAAGTGCCAAAGCGCAAATGCGTAAGAAAAAACAAAACGTAAAAGTGCAAAAGCGCATTTGATTAATAGAGTCCCACAAGTGCAAAAGTCAAAAAGAGTCCTGCAGCACAGAGTGCAAAACTGCAAAAGCGCAGAAGAGCCCCAAAAGTGCATAAGCACAACCAAAACCGCAAAGGTGCGCAAGACTCCCAAAAGTGCAAAATGCAAACGTACAAAAGTGCGAAAGTGAAAATGCGCAAAGGCGCAAAAAAACTGTCCCAGAGACCCCCAAAAGCGCACAAGCCCAAAATGCACAAGTCCAAAAGAGCCTCACAAGCGCAAGTCCGAAAGCGCAAACATGCAAAAAACCAAAAGTTCAGAAAAGCCCCAAAGGTGCCAAAGCAGAAGCGCAAAATAGTCCAAAAAGCGCAAAATAACCCAAACAGCGCAGAAGTGCAAAAGAGCAAAAGCTCAAAACTCCAAGTAAGAGCAAAAGCTCAAAAGCCCCAAAGCGTCCCAAGAGTGCAAAAGAACCCAAACAGTGCAAAAGGGCAAAAGCTGAAAACCCCACGTAAGAGCAAAAGCTCAAGTGCAAAAGAACCCAAACAGTGCAAAAGAGCAAAAGCTCAAACGTCCGAAAGAGCCCCAAAAGGGCAAAAGCATCCAAAAAGTGCAAAAGAACACAAAAAGCGCAAAAGAGCCAGAAAGTGCAAAAATGCAAAAGAGAAAAAAAAGGCAAAAGTTCAAAGGAGTCCTAAAAGCGCAAAAGCCAAAACGAGCCCCAACTGCACAACAGCCCAAAAGTGTGACAGTGCAACATGCAAAAGCGCAAAAGCGCAAAAACAGTGAGAAAGTCAGAGCGTCCAAAAGTGCACAAGAGTCTAAAAGTGAGAGCAAAAGCGCAAAACTCCAAAAGAGCCCCTCGTGCGAAAAAGAGTCCCAAAAGTTCAAAAAGGCCCCAAGATACACACATGCCACAAAAGCCTCCAAAAGTGCAAAAGAGCAAGCGCAAAATTGCAAAAGAGCCTCCCGTGGTCTTGCGCCCTTCTTTTTGTCGTGAGGTTAGCCTGGTGCGATGAGCCGCCACAAGCGCTGGTGATCAAAACCAACGCCACAGTGACGCAAGCGACAGCAATCTGTAAGCTAGCAGCGGACAAGAGTGGCGCAGGCTGCCAAGCCGATCCAAGGACACGAACAAGCACGCCAGGGGCCACAGCAGGAGGACCGGTGATGTTGGGCCGCGTGCGCCGAGAGTCCCAAAAGTGTAAAAGTCCAAACGTCCAAAAGCACAAAGGCGCAAAAGTCCAAAAGAGCCCCAACAGCGCAAAAGTTCCAAAGCGCCGCTTCCCTCAACGCTCTCTCTACTCTTGCGAGCCTGATCTCCTCCGCGGACTTGAGATTCTCACTGCGCAAGGTTTGCAGGAGCTCTCGGGTCTTGGAGATCTCGGAGTCCAGCTCTTTCTGCCTGAGTCGGGGCCCGGAATCTCGCGCGCTGCCCGCTTCTCAGAGAACCAGTTTGACGCGAAACGGCGCCTGTGGTGAGAAGGTGGATCTACAGGAAGTAAACACCGACGTGGTTTCCTTCAACTCCAAGTTGAACACGCCATGATACTGACACCGAGCCGGCGCCGAAGTTTCAAAACAGCGATCACTTGTAGTTTGAGAATCCTTTCTCTGTACTGCAAGTGAGTCCTGGCCTCCAACGCAACAAAGCACGCATTGTCAGGAGGCCAGCAACTAGTTCATTGGGTGGCTAAAAAATGTGCAACTGAAAAATTGTTGGTGACTTGGATATTTAGCAAGTGAGCAAGCAAGCAAGCAAGCAAGGCAAGCAAGCAAGCAAGCAAGCAAGCAAGCAAGCAAGGCAAGGCAAGGCAAGGCAAGGCAAGGCAGGCAGGCAAGCAAGCAAGCAAGCAAGCAAGCAAGCAAGCAAGGGCAATCCAAAGCCAGCGAAGGCAATCCAAAGCTAGCAAAGGCAATCCAAAGCCAGCAAAGGCAATCCAAAGCCAGCAAAGGCAATCCAAAGCCAGCAAAACCAGCAAAAAACAGAAAAAGCCACCAAGGCAATCCAAACACTCATCATCGTTGGTTTTTGGGTAATTGTGGGGGCACGGAAAAAATCAGTTAGAATTGAACAAGTTGGGCACATCTCGGCCAAGAGGAGAAAAATGAAAATTAACAAAACTGTTTAGATGACACTTGAGAAGGAACGGTGTGTTCTATCTTTGGAGATGTTGAAACGCGCGTGGTAAACGCTTATCGGTCCTTTGCTAATAATCCTTCACTTCAGTGAGATTGTTCTAAATGTAGGTTTTGAAAACATACTCAACTTGAAATGTGTTTTTCTCGTTTAGATATTTGTATGTACCTTAGCCATCAAAAGCAATCAAAAGCAGGCAAAAGCAAGCCACGGCAAGCAAAAGCGAGCAAAAGCAAAGGGCAAGCAAAGGGCAAGCAAAAGGCAAGAAAAAGGCAAGCAAAAGGCAAGCAAAAGGCAAGCAAAAGGCAAGCAAAAGGCAAGCAAAAGGCAAGCAAAAGGCAAGCAAAAGGCAAGCAAAAGCAAGCAAAGGGCAAGCAAAAGGCAAGCAAGCGAGTCACTAGAGGGGCCCTCCAAGGTCCGGCCAAGATGCCGCCAGGCACACTGGCTCACAACCCCAACGCGCTTCAGAATTCACAAGGCACTCAAAGAAATCGCGTCACTTCAAGACTGCGCGATGGCAAGGTTCAGAAAGACGGTTCAGAAAGATACGGTGGCCACTCAGCCGCCCAAAGCAGCTGCCCCACAGTGGCGCCCAGCCGCCAAAAAAAAAGGTAGGATGACATCAGACCAAGTCCTAGAATTCGTGGCGCACCATGCGATGGCCTGCGCTACGCTGCTGGTATAACTTATGATGGGTAGTCAGATACTTAGATAGTGAGATACTTGGATAGTTAGTTGGTCGGTGGGTCGGTCGGTTGGTTGGTTCGGTCGTTCGTTTAACAGCCCCTGGCTAGTTGGATACTTAGATGGCTTGATGTCTAACCAGTTCACTAGCTGAACAGCTGGTCAGTTAGATTCTTAGAGAGTAAGTTAGCTAGTGAGCTAGTGAGCTGGTTGGCTGGGCTGTTCAGCTATTAGCTATTGAAGTACGTCAACCCCCAAAAGTCGGTGGAGGGATGTGCGGGCCTGCCACCTTGTCGAATCCCAAGTGCGCATTCCCATCCATGAAGAGAAGTGGCATGCCTCTGTGCCCTTGGGCACACACCAGCTCACACATCCAGCGGCATGTTCCTTTTTTCTGAAAAGGACTTCTTGGTGATGTTGGGTGGAAAATATGCCACAACGCACAGCAAATCTAGTTGAGGTGGCAGTTGCAACACGTTTTGCAGCTCACCCTCTCCTCTCCCGGGTCCCTTGAAGTGCTTTGGGCTGATATACCTTCGGTGGACCCACAACCTTTGCTTCGCTGCTGCCTTGTGAAAGGCCCGAGTCTGCTCTGCGCCGATGAACGCAAGGGTTGCTTTTCCGTTTTGTTACCACCAAGCCGACAATGTGACACGACCTAAACTGGTCCCAGCTGACAAAAGCTCCCTATTCCCAAATGTCCTTGTACTTCGAATCCTTTCCACACGCCTGTCGAAGACCGCGCAGCTCCATTCATTGCAGTACTATGCGAGTTCCTTGTATTGCAGCCCCCAACCCAGTCTAGGCATGGCTCTTGCAAGCTGATTAGCAGGTGCACGGAGGCATCATAGCCCATAAGAAACCAGGGGTAGAACGCCTTACAACACACTGCCAGCCGGGAATTGGAGCGCGCTCGAGACAGCCTCACAAGCAATTGGCAAGCAAAAGGGCCAGTCTGCGCATGTCAAGTGCGTTCATCTTAAGCGGGTTCCTTCCCAAGCAAGCAGAACTCTGGTAGAGAAACCATCATGGGTGTGTGCCCCCCCAAAAAAAGTGTTTGTCCTTTTGGTGTCCCTTCAAAACCAACCAAAAAGGGGTACCCTCCAAAACGGACACAGCAGCATGGCTTCCGCGGAATGCTTCGAGATACATGGGCCCCACCAGCTGCTGCGTGTCTTCGTGGATCTGCCGCCGCAGCTCCACGAACTTGTCCGAGAGATCCGCGAAGATGTCCTGCGCCAAGCTCTTCGCACTAGCCTCAGCGAGAGGCTTCGCACCAGCCCAGAAGACAGTGGCCTCGCAATTTCCGGAGGACGGCGCTAAAAGGGAAAGCGCGAAATCTAATCTGGAGGACCCCGCAGAACGCAACTTGAACGGGCGAAATCCACAAGGGAAGGCTCAACCAGCCACATGAGCCAGGGCACTTCATTTCTTGAGCGGCTAGTCCCTCGCTTTGGCGATGGCCGCCCGAACTCGTCCTCGTTGGAGTGACCGCAGGGCGTCAGGAAGGTGTCAATTCGCGTCCAGTTCTGGCGCCCCTCGTTGGCCTTGGACAATAAATGCGTGTGGAAAGGGGGGATGGAGACCTTTATGCACTTTCCACAAGTACATGCCTTTTTGGGCGATGTGTTGAATGAATTGGGAGCGCTTTGGTGGCCATAATATGGACCTGTGGATGTCTAAATTTGGGGACCCCAACAAATTGCGGTTTTCCTTTTGGTGTTCCTTTGAAGCCAACATGAAACCAGAACCCTCCAAAAAAGGCGCGCACTGTGTCAAAATAGGGGACCCGTCCAAAATGCGTCCGCTTCCCTTGACACCAACCGGGTCAACCTCAACACAACACCTGGGAACCTCCACCAGGTACCCAGTGGGGTGCCTTGGAGATGTCCAGCGTCCGGAAGCTGGCGGTTTGCGGCTTGGGCGACGGTGACGGGGAGTTACTCTTCGGCCCCATGGCAAAGGGGGTGGTCGCCACCTGCGACAGGATGGCAAAAAGGCCAATTTCGGGAGAAGTCCTTTCCAAGGTCAAAACTTGGGAGGTTGGCCGAGTTGGCTGGATTGTTCCCCGTCCATTCTAAGCCTTCTGCCCACCTGCTTGGCGTCCAGCCCATGCCGCAGCGGGTCCGTCTCCAGGTAGGCTGCGTCCGCGGCGTAGTTCCGGAACTGCCCGGGCCCCGACACGATGGACCCAGCCACAGGCGCCGGGTCAGAGCTGCCGTGCACGGGAGTCACCAGGTCCTGGGCAAGGCTCCGGCTGTTTGTGACTGGGCTGCACTGGTGAGTCCTTGAGCGCGCAAGTAGCAAGTCGACTTCCCTGTTTGCCAGACTAAAATGAGGGAGAATCGCATTCTCTCAGCTCCTGCAAACCAAAATCACCTGGGGCAGGCTTGGCAGGCCGGGCAGGCCGGGCAGGCCGTCCGTTGCCAAAAACTGACAGAGGTCAGCATCAAGCCATCACATTCATGCGGACTCTTCTTTCCTAGGTTCGGCGGGCACTAACATGTCCCAGTATGTTCCAGCAAAATTCACCTTGGGGTTGAGCTTGATTTAAGGTTTGTCATGGTTTAGTGCTGGTTTAGGGTGGGAAGGTTTAGGGGGCTTTGGGGATGGTTTAGTGCTGGTTTGCAACCCTGCCACGACCCAGCCCGGTCGTAAAAGACAACTATCACTTGGAGGTAAAGCAAAGTGATACAAGGAAAGTCGGAGATTGCAGAGAAGAAAGCTGCATGGTACGCCATGGCGATTCTACTCCATTGAATGAGGACCTCAAATTCCGGAAGCCCCCCTCTGCTGTGCTGGGCGGGTTGAAACAGCAACCACGACTAGGCGTGACGATTTCTTGAAGTCTGGGCGGGTGTGCAGCATGAATGAAGTAAGGCAAAACTTCACGCGGCCTTCGCAAATGCAATTCAGCAGGAGTGCATTACACATGTGCGCTTGCCTTGAGATCTTCACGTGAGCGGCGGCCTTTACTTGTTGCTTCCGCTAAAGGAAACAGTTTGCTGGGATCCTCCCTATCTCGTTCATTCATTTTTAGTGCTTGGCCGACTTCCTGATCTCGTTTTTCACGCTGTCCTCAATTTCTATACCACCATATCATACAACTGTTTCCCTATCTCGTTTTTGGGCTCCTCCCTATCTCGTTCCCATAGGCACGTGCGTTTTGTCCAGAAAACTGTTTCCAGTCCCTTACTAGTCTGGATGTGCGCAAATAAAAGTGGGCGCTCACGTGACTTTTGCACATTCATGCACGTCTTCCGCGCGTCTTCAAGGCCTGCATTCATTGTTCCTTAACGTGGCATTCAACAATGCAGGAACTTCGTCGAGGAACCACTTTTCGCGCAGAATGATGGTATTTGATCATATCGAATGGGGAGGGACCGTTGAGGCACGCCCAAATGTCCAACCCAACATATGCCTGCAGGCCTCGGCCTCTGCCACACAACCGCAAGATCGCCCGACTTGTGTGGAAGCCCCAAGCACACCACCCCAACACACCTTTTATTTGAAGTGTATGGAGTGTCACTGGCAAAGTTCTATGGTGCAACTCATCCAACATGGCTGTTTGCCCGAACCTTACCTCTGTGCTCTCCCACTTCAAATAGTAAGT